TGCTTGTCGGCGTCGATGGAGGGTTGTTTGCGAGGGCGGAGAGGGTGAGCGTCTTTCCAAGGCCGATAAATATTTGCTTCCGATTTCAAAGATATTTTTGACGTCCTGACTGCGTCGCGAGACCTTGCACTTTATTGCCTGCTCGTTCGTTCGTTCGCTCGCTCGCTCGCTCGCTCGCTCGCTCGCTCGCTCGCCCGCTTACCTGTCATAGCCGTCGTTCACGGCGTGTTTGGTAAATATATTAGGAAGATGACGGTTTGTTTCGATAACAGGTATTTAACGGTCAAACTGGAAACTCCCCGCTCTTTCCTTCTGCCTGCTTCGCTCATCATCCGCTAGGAGTTAATCTGCGGCCGCTATCGCGCACGAAGACGCGTGTCGGATCGTTTTATCCACTTGGCTAGTCACCGCGGCGCGTAGCGTATCGCATCCAAATTTCACTTTGGGGATCTTAATTTTGTTTCTTTTTCTTTTTTTTCTTTTCTTTCGAATCTCACCTATTTACACACATAGTGAACGGATACGATTGCACGAGGATATCCGGGGGGGATCTCTGGCATACACTGACCTCCTGTATATTTTTACACTGCACGTTAAAGCAGATCAGAACAACATTTTGAAATAACATTTGAAACGAGCCGAAATTTTCGGGCGCTCTCGGGGATCGCGTGCGCGAGACGAGACATCTCGAAGTTGCAAACGCGCCCCACCGACGGATCTTCCTCTCTCTCTCTCTCTCTCTCTCGATTCTCACTCGATGACACTCGAGCTGGCGGCGCATCATTTCAGGGACCCTCACACATTCTTGCGGAATGCCATTTCTCCCTGCTCCGAAAATATCGCGGGCTCTATAAATCAGCCGCTCGTACGATCGTTCGTCATCGAGTCGCGCATTACGCCCTTCTCGCGAGTCCTCGTGGGTCCTCCGCGAGGATCCGGGGCCCCGATTACACCCGATTGGAACCGGATTCCCTTTCGTCGATCGGCATTCCTCGGTTTTTTCGCGACGAATACTGCTCTCCTCCCGCCCACCCCCCCTCCCCACCCCTCTCGTTCCCGTTCAGTGCTCGCGCATCGTCCTACCCCGTCCTTCTCAAGCGGTCCTCTGGGAACGAAGGGACTCGCGGAGGAGCGGTCGGTGGCAGGGTGGGCGATTCACGAGGGGACAAAGACGGCCAAGTGGAGGAGTAAAGAGGTAAAGAAGTGAGCGAGGATGGACAATGGTCTCGCTCAAAGCGTCACCCGTAAATCTCGTTGAGCGCGTATAATTTGTAAGTCGGCAGCAGGCCCCCTCGCCCCCTCTAGCCTGCCCCTGCTCGCCCCTCGTCCTCCTGCGCCCGCTGCTCGTCCTTCTCCACCTCCTCCTCCTCCTCGGGCAGCCGTTGCCCGCGTTTCTTCGCTTTCTCTCTTTCTCTGTCATCCTCCCTCCGAGATCCGGAGGGCCGCAGCCGAGATACCACGGGCTCTCCGCTCCATGTTCCTACGAACGGCTCTCGGCTTCCGATCGCACGTTGCCCCGCGCGTTTCTTCGATGCGCCGCGTGTTGTACACGCGCTGTACTATCGGTTTTTGCATCGGCGCGGAGCATACGCTCGCGCGACTGCGGCAGGACGTCCGATTACACTCGTACGTCCTGCCGTCCGCCGTACTGCGGCGTGTAACAGCGCGAGGGACGCGACGAGTCTTCGACGAATTCCAGGACTTGGACCGCCCTCGCGCTCGAGACGCTCTTGCTTAAAGCGCGAGTACTCGCGACGCAACGTATAACGCATTCCGCGTAACAACCCGCCGAACGTAAATACCTAAATACCGCGTATCCGCTTGGAAAGGTGAAGGAAGCGCGCGGGCCCTTTGCCAACCGGCGCACAATGATTATTCCAGAAATACCAGAATCGTGTCAACACGAGACGGCCGACAGATCGCCCCGTCTGCTTTCGGCCGCCAACACGTGTCGGCCGATCGATCATTCGCGATATCGAGGCGCGCTACGCAAATATCCGCGGATCACGACGCGGCCACCATCGGACAAAATAGCGTCCGATACGGAGCTCATTATGCAAATAGAACGCGTCCCGGGGGGAAGCTCTTTCTCAGCTTCCGGAGACGACCCTGTCGCGCCATTATTCAAATCCCGCTATTCCTCCTCCCCGGCTGATCGCCGTAGTTTCGGGCGATTTTTCCACGGCCCGAGCCGACCACCGTCGAGCTCCGCGCTCCTCGTCGGCTCTCGCCGCGGACGGATCTTTCCTCTCCCCTCCACCGTGAAATTACCGCCGACGACGTGATCACCGTGATTACCAATTACGCTGCGGGAACATTCCGCTTTTCATGCGCGAGCAAGCGAGCGAGCGAGCAAGCGGGCGTCGCGCGTTTAATAAGCGTCCGCGAGCGCGTTTTCACGCGCCGCTTCGTCTCCGCGAGCGGCGCGATCGAGCGGCGGATAGTCGCGCGCGATTGATCGCAGGTGCGCAGGCGAGCGGCGGCAGGTAGTAGGTACGAG